CCGAGCCGGAAGCGAGACGTTAATTATGAATAGAGTGTCTCGATAGAAATTCTCGGGGGATCCCATAGATCACAATTAGCTTCTCTCGCGAGCCGCGAGAAACGAAATTTTCGCGACGCGAAGTGCAAAGCTCGCGGCGTCGCCGGTCGTCTTGCCATTACTCACGATGATATCGCGAGCGTTGTGTAGCGATACCGTCGTTTTCATGCGAAATGACGTTTATCGTAATTGCCCGTCCGGGCGCATTGAGCGCACTAAATTTCCGCGGCGCGCGTCCCTCTATTAATTACCTCCTGATAATCTCGACTTGTAATTTACAATACGCCGGAGGACCCTCCATCGAAAAATCGCGCCGTCGCGCTTCACGACGGGCGCGACGGGGCAATTCGACCGGGGAATGAATCGCTCGATTAATCGCAGTTGCAAATGACTGATCGTTGTGATCAGTGACTAATTAAACCCCCGCGCGCGGGGCGGGCTCGCCGTAGTATAGCGGATGAAATGAACTTAGATTTTGTACGGTCGTTCGATCAATTTACAAGCGTGATATTAATTCCCGAATATCGACGATAGTGGGAAAAAAAAGAAAAGGAGAAAATAGCGATAGCGCGATCAATCTTTTCCCGTTGACGGGGAGGGGGGGAGAACGTGCACCTCAAACGGTTTCCTCGGGAGAAAGACGAGTGAAGGACGGAGGAGGAACGATTTCTCGTCCGGAGAGGAAGTCGCGTGAGGAGCGCCACGCATGTGATCCGAGATGTAAAGGGAAGGGAGTCTCGGCACGTGATCCCCCTCTCTCTGTATTCCGTACCGTCGAATGATCTTTTTTTTTATATTCCTTTTTTTCTTGATCAATTGTGTACATGTGTTTACTACCTTTATATTGACTCAATGATGTTATTCTGTGGTGCTTTGCATGTCTCTATTGGACTCTGCATGTCGTATAGGGCATCGTAAGTACTTACTAAATGAACTCATCATGAGACCTACGAATACACATACGACACATCTCAGACGCCAATCTCTCGTCGACGTGAGAGGCGGGCGGATTCGCGGATCCGTCGATCCCCGGACGCGCACGAGGAGGATTCCTCCACGGAGGAGCTACGTACGAATCCTCGAATGCCGAGTGCTCCACGGGATCCCTCGGATCCGCGGATCGCGTTCGATCCCCGGATGTTCGGACTTCCCCAAGCCGAGGATCCCCGAAACTTCGAATTCTCGGATTTCGGGAACGCTTGGGTCTCTCGGTCCTTGGATTCGGACGATCCGGGAGATCGAGAATCCCTGGGTTCTGACATTCAAGAATAACCGAAATGGATCGTTTGATCCTCGAATACTTAGATCCTTGTACACAAGTAGAATCTACGAATCTACGTTGTTTATTTATGAAAAAATGCGATCGAGGAATCTCGTTCCGCTGTATCCGTTCTTAAAAAAAAAAAAAGAAAACGTGATACGAATCCAAGAAATTAATTCAATGCGATTGCGAAGTTAGGGATAAATGAAAAAGAATAAAATGATCAAGCGCGACAAAACAGGGGATTGTGATGTCAAATCGAAATAGAGGTAAAAGTAATTTCGCCAGTAAAAAATAGTCGGTAAATATAAATTCTAAAATCTTCTCTGGAAATCACCCCAATTATAGAATTCACTTGAATCCGCGAAGCCGGACGAACGTCCGAAATATTTGAAATAATTAAGAATCTAACAAGGAAATCTCAGGATCACCGACAATCTCGAGTGAGCTACGTGCTACTCGAGACGGTGGTACTCTGTTCCCGAGATGTATTTTTGCTGCAGAACGGAAAGTTCGCCGACACGTATACAACTTCACGGTTCGATGCTCTGAATACAAAAGAACGGAGTCGGCGAGACGGAGAAAAAAATAGAAGAACGAGCCTTCGCCGATCGATACGATTTCAAATTGCGGAAAAGAATTCTCTTCCGCCACACGGGCGAGCCCTGTCGCGCATTCTCGCCCGGCACCCCCCTAAACATTTTTATTAATTTATCCCGACACAGGAAACCTTAGCAGTAGCCATGTATCGTTATTAAACTTGCCCTTCTCGTTCGTCCGGACGAGAGATAATCCGGCTAACGACCGCCGATCAACTTCTATTACGATTCTGCCCGATTTCCTGTACACCTCTTTGTCTCTCGCCTGTCAGTCCGTTTCGTCTCTCTTTCTCTTTTTCTCCTTTTCCAGTTCTTTGTCAATATTTTTCTCCCTCAACGCCTTCGGATGCCCAGTTAATCCCCCTTTTCGTTACTTCCCGACTTTCCCATCGGCCTCAAGCCTCGAATCTGAAGAGAGATTAACGAGGGACGAGCAAAAAATGAAGAACGAAAGGGAGAATGGGAAAGAGGGATGAAATAAATAAGCGGAAGGGGGAGGGAGAATGGGAGGGGAATAGAAGAGAGGAACGGGACGAAAGAGAGAGGTTCGTGCCACGAGGGAAATGCCGACGGCATTTGGCGGACACGGGTAAGGGGGAGAAATGACTTCCGCGGATTTTTCCCGCTCGAAAGCCGATGTTGTTCTAACCCGAGGGTGCATAAACTCCATCCTTTTAGTAATATTACCCGACCGGTACGGGAATCGTGTAATTTTGCACTCGCGTACGTGCCGTGGGAGACGTAACGATTGAAGCCGAAAGTTTCCCGGGGCAAATGCACATTTTCAAATATTTTCTTTTGGCTTTACTTTGCTTCTTGATTTCGGTATTATAATGAACATTCGCTTCTCTGTATCAACAAGGATGATTTTATGCACTCCTGTTCTCAGAAAAATTTGTGGGATTATTTCTCTCTCTCTCTCTCTCTCTCTCTCTCTCTCTCTTTCTCTCTCTCTTTCTCTCTTCGCGTCGTTCACGTAAATCAGAAACGCCCGAAAGTGATTTTCCGGCACGACGATCGGATTTCCTGTATTCCCTCTATTGTTTTCTAGTCTCCCCCTCGTCGTGCTATTCATTTTGCGCCGAAAATCCCTCCCCTTTCCCTCCTCTTTTCCGGTCATTCTCTCTCATTAAGCTCGTCTATGGACGCCGGGAACCACATCGAAGCTGCGGGCTCGTGAATAGCTAATTGCCGCCTCGTTAATTACCTTTCTCCGGGTATTTTTTTTCCACCCGCAGTGTAATGCGATCCGACGGGAGTTGTACGAGGGTGTCCGTTTTAACTTTTGTGTTACACTCCCTCCTCCCCCCACCCCGACGACCTCGCAAAATTTTTAACATCCAGCAGTTTCTTTACGGTATCTCGTAAAACGTGCCTTTCAGTAAGATCCCGTAAGACCTCTCGTGCTTCTCTCACCGAGATCTTTAAGAAGAAAAATCTATCTCTTAACCATTCCCTGTCGAGTTACATGTCTGAATTTTTCATTTCTTCCAAAAATGCCTCGCGTAAGTCACGTATTTCATCAGAAAATACGCGATCTCCAGTTGAGATTTATCAAAAGATCAGGGGATATACTCTGGAACAAGCACTTGCCGAGTTACGACCCACTTACGATTTACCTCCACTTTCCTAAAAGTTTTTTTTTCATTATCCGAAATCTGCGGTCTTATTGTCGCATTGTGCAAGAAAGGAGAGGCAAATTAATAGTGTTCGGATATCTCTCTTCGAGCGCGACACTTTGACATTTCCAAAGAACAGCAATGTTTTTTTTTAATTTTTAAAAATAGCTCGTATCTCGGTCCGCATCTTCATACGGTATGCGATATTGACATGTCACTTTACTACCGCGGGATATTTTCAGCTTCTTATATTCGATCGTATTATCGGAAAATCGCGTGACACGAGTTAATATTTTATATCGAATTTTGTTCGTTTATTCGAGTCGGATATATCGAGTCCTTTAGTAAAAATTTATGTTTCGCTATTTTTTTCCTGCGACCAAACTCCTTCGAACTCTGTCTTTCATTTCCTCGTCTCTCATTTACTTAATTTCCAAAAATCGATGCTCGCCGCACGATCTTCCTACAGTCCGTACAGGAAGCGCGATCGGCGACTCCCCGGGGCGATACCGGGCGAAGAAATACGTGGAAATTATGTGCGTCACGTACTAATGTTGCCGCTTCCGCGAACCACTAACGGTCACGTTCCCAGTCACGCTTTCTTCTCCCTTACACCCTGTGTCTTTCCCCATAAGTAATTCATCCCGTCTCCTCCTTGCGGCGCGAGTTGCACGCCGAGTTTCAAGTTCGTTACGTCGATCTAATTGCGACGGTTTCTGTCTCTTCTCGCGACCGACCCTCTGAATTTCAAGTATTTTTCATTTTAAGCGGTCCCTCGGGGATCTGTTAGCGTCCTCGCGGCACAATCGTCGCCTCTCACAAAGAGTTTTTATTTTACGACATTACGTGGCTTTCACGCCTCCTCATCGTTTTCTGTTAGACGTCACGAGCGCAGAGAGAAACCATAAGCTGTCGTTCGAACAAGTGACTTCCAGTTGAATTCAAATACGACTTGCGCCGATATAGTAACGGATACGGTTAAATGTATGAAAATCTCAATTTTCATCGGGGGATACGTAGGATCGTACGAGAACGCGACGAAGAGTCGGAAGTTTCGTAAACTCCGCGCCGCACGCGTCGATCCTCACCGCGCGTTCAACTTCTCCCCAGGTCCTCTCCAACTTTCCTTATTTTTCTTGCTTTCCAATGTTTCTCTTCGGAGAGTAAATGGCATCCAGAGATTCAGCACGGTTCATATAAAATTCCGTTACGTCTTAATCTGTGAGATGGTGTCCTCTTTGATTAACATGTAATGGAATGTTGATGATGTCGGGCTGAAATTGGACCGCCATCGACCCCTCTCGATTTCTAGGTAATCTCGATGTCGTGTTTACGTTTTTCCTCTTTTTTTATCTTTCCTTCTCTTTTTCTCTTGCTTTTCCCCTTTGCGTCTTTTTTTTTCTCTCAACACGGCTGCTCGTATTAGCGAGACGCGGCGAGCAATGCGTAACCGATCGACAGAAATCTCTTCTCTTCGTGTAGGAAAAGGAGGACGGACCGGTGTACAAGTTTTACGAGGCCATCCGCGATTTCGGGGAGAACATTATGGACAACATGAATTACCGGAATAACGTTACCCTCTTCGCGCCCAGCAACGACGCGCTGAACGAACCGGGCGTGAAGCAGATGCTGCAGGACAAGAATCGCATGAAGGAAATCCTCAAGCTCCACTTCGTCACGCAGAAACTAACCCTCGAGAATATCAAGGCCAAGAGCATCAACCAAGTAAGTCCTTGTTTTTTTCGTTGCGCTAAATTAAAACAGATGTCGATTAACATGAATTAACATGGGAACACGTAACATAAATCAGGTCCATCTTTGAGTCACTTGTGTTCTAAAGATGAAGTATTATGCGTGAAATATTAATTAATTAGTCTACCTCCAATCATATTTATGGGCTCAAATAAGTATTTAATTATCTAACACTACATAGTCATGGCATGATAAAATGTAAGATTTATCTCACATCGCAATTTTGCTTAATAATTTTTTTAACATGGATATAACAGACATTGCTTTATTTTAAGAGAAGAGACTCTTCTCTCGCGCCAAAAGATCGACATAATCACGTGGAGGTGTATCATCACACTGATTAACTTTTTTTTTGTTTTCCCAAAGAAACAATACAACAGTAAGAAGACGGAAGTCGGGGTAATTATAGATTCATACAGCTTTCAGTGTTCCTTTTTCGTTCTTCTCTTTTTTTGTGTGTGTATGTGTGTGAACTGTTTCGCAAACAGTTCTATCTGCATCCATTCGCACTGTCCGCTTTCATGCGTTTCTCGATGTTGAACGTATTACGAGCGCGAAACGAATACGAGCTAACATTTCCAACACTAACACGGCCGCGCCGGGGCATTCGGCAATCGATAGCCTCAATAAATCTCGCCCCGCCAATAGCTTTAGTAATCGAACGCCAAAGAGATTTCTATTCTTGCCGCGATACACACGGTATACAAGGTGGCCCGAAAAGTCACATTGAAATTTAGCGATCGCAAGGCTCGACGCGCCGCCGCGCGCCACTCGACAGCGAACGTATATTTATTTCGCAATTGCCTAGAAATTCCACATTTCTCGGTCATATCACCGAGAGAAACGGGCCACGAGGACGTCGCGCGCGGACTCGCGTCGTCCGACGAGAGGCCGACTTTTCCGTCACCCCGTATACCCGGAAACGCACGATTCGAATGAAATTGCGGAGAGTCGTTCGACAGTCCGCGGAATGGATTTCTGCCGTTTCGTCGACAATAGGATGTAACGATAATTGCGTATTTTTGCGAGGAGCCGAGTTTCTCCTGCTCCTCCCCCATTTTCCTCTCTCCCCGCTGGCGACAGTTGGGAGAGAGGGAGGGGAACCGACGCGAAAACGAGCTCACCTGGTCGGGCGCGATAAGGAAACTCGGCTTCCTCGGATTAAGTGGATTGGAAGATAAAAAAAAAGTTCTCCGCGCGCGCGAAGAAGGAGACGCCTGACGTCATAACAACGCGCCGAGGCTCTGTTCCGCTCTTAAACTTTGCCTCGAAGTCGACCGGCACGCCGGTTCGTTTTCGCACTTTTCGAGGCTCATTATCATCCAATCAGCATGGCGGAAACTTTTCGTCGGAATAACAAAAAGCTCTCGGCAATTTTCCACCGGGCTCCCGCATTTCCACTGTCCCTCCTCCCCCTCCCGCTTCCGTTTTTCCGCCCCTTCCTGCATTTCCGCATTTGCCTTCGCTTATTTTTACAGACTCGAAGAACGTCTTCACTTCTCCCGACGACGAAATTGCGATCGCGCCGCGAACTTCCTTTCATCCCGTTTATATATATATATTTGAGGCGATCATGGCGCGAACGAGCGAGCTATCTTTTTTTGTTTCTAACTGATCTCGTAATTGCCTCGGCGCTTTGAATCTTCCGACCGGCTTATCATCGTTCTTTTCGCACCCGACGTTCTACAGATAAAAATCGCACGTGCAGAGCGCGCCCGCGTTATCCGCATTATCAATCATACGCGTCGCAGAGCGTTTTCCGCGCGGCTCAAAAGCGTCTCGTTAGCGCACGCGAGAACTCAATTACATCGGATAGTTACCGGCAAATACCTACCGGTAATCGCGACGCGCCGGTAAAATCAACAGGGAGAGACGTGCGATCGCTCACGCAGCGTGCACGATTTGCTACATTAATCTTGGCGTTATTAAGCGACATCGATTGCAGCGAAGCGAATGTCGAGTAAAAGAGTCCTCCGTTATAAAAGCGAGAAAAAGCGAGACGCGCTGCCTCTTTGGCGGGTACCTATATACACGCGCAGATTCGCGCGAGAGGCTGAGCGACAGTTGCGGGATAATTCTCGCGCGAAACCGATAAATTCCTTCCTGAAAACGCCCTCGTCGTATCCCTCCGGACGAGTTTATTGGCTTTGCAACATTGTTCGCAGATTTGCCCGTTATCTACACGCACTGCCGAATTTATAGGGTATGCGACGCGTCTCGCAAATCCGCGGTGAAAAATCATTCCCGGCCGATTGCGCCTCGCGGGTTCGCGCGAAACAAAACAAAAAAAAAGGGAGAGAGAGAGATCGAAAGGGGGTGGAAACGAAAGCGCGGGCTGAATCGCATCACGCAAATGTTCGGTCGGAAAATACGCCGACGTGTGGTTATCGCGATGGGAACTCTCTCGCGCGCGCGCGGTATCGCTTTACAGCTTCCAAACAAACGGAGCTTCGGAATCGGATATAATGATCCGCGCCGCTAATGTTCATATACGCGATACTGTAAAAGAGCGAAGCCAATTCCGATTAAAGCGGCTCTTGGCTGATGAAAATTTTTCCCTTCCGAAAAAAAAAGTTGTCCCCAAATTGATCGACAAAACATACCCGTATCGCCGGGATTGATTATTAACAGTTAGTAATTAAGTCGCGGCTTTTCCCGAGTAAAAAATTCGATGACGTTACGTAAACACGAATTTCCTCCCGTCGAACGTTATTTCCCTCCAAAGTTCCTCGAACTCCCGTCACACTTTTATCGTTGTTACGAGTATAAATAGGGAACCGCGGGCCGTAAACCAGAATAATCGAGTATTACCTTCTTATTTCACGAAGCGTGCTCCGCGAGCGCCCGGGAGGATAGCGTCTAATATCCTGCGGGAAAACTCCTGTGGGGAGGGCGAAAGAAATGTAAAGCGGCATTGCGTCCCACGCTTTCCAGGCGTCTCCCTTCCGGCGCGTCGGCGGAACGTCCCTCTCGCTTTCTCCCGTCGCGTCGCGTCGTCGCGATACATGTCTTCACGGTTGTCTAACGGTAGCCGGGGGGGAACTCGCGTTTCCGATGTAATATGTATTATTTTCGAAACTCCCCGCGCTCTCTCTTCACGATTAAGTTTCCGGAAACTCCCCGCATCCAGATGGTCGCGGGGAATTCGATTTCGATGCACGAACTTCGCCGAACCGACTGGACCACGGCGGGAGGGTATTCCTTTTCGGGAAACGTTTCCCGGTCGCTCGCGACTCGGCGAAGGAAATCTAATTCGTTTCTCCGTTGCCGAGCTTCAAATAACAATGAATATTAATGGGTCCGCGTTCGCGAAGCACGAATCGACGAAACTGGGTTCGCCGGGGCGTCGCGCGAACTTAGATTTCGACGCGAGAAAACGTTTGTGACGGAAACTCCCCGAATATTTAATTTTCTGAATAGATAGATGGAATAAAGTAAAACAAGCTCTTTCGCGTGAAAATCAAAGAGAGCCCGGAAGAGTTTCTCTCTTCCAAGTAGCGCGATACCTTCCCGATCGCATAGTCAGATCGATGATCGCGACTTCGTATTCGCCGATACAGGGATCTCCACCCCTCGTTTGGAGCGCGCCGATGAATGGCCGCGCGGAACGAGCGTTTTCAACGCGGTAACGCACCCGCATTAATTTTCCAGTTGGATCGGATTCGGGAAAGTATCGCGCTGGTGACTTACGAGCTCGACGATGGCCGGGGAGAAAGAGAGAGAGAGAGAGAGAGAGAGAGAGAGAGAGAGAGAGAGTACTCGCGCGCGCATAAATGTGTGCGTATCGATCTGTGTGTGAGAGCGAGGGTGCCGGTACGCGGTAAAATTAATAATTACAACATAGTGGTAGCTACAAATCTAGCGCGCTCCAACTCGCTCCGATATCTCGATCGGCGCCGCCCGCGCGCCGTACACCGTCCGCAACCATCGTCGACTCCCCGAGAGCCATGAACGCAATTACGCGAAATCTCCGATACAGCTAATTACACTTCAATATCCATCGAGCCGCTTCAATCATTCAGCAACGCCAATACCGGGATGTTGGCTTTAATTACTCCATCCGCTCGTTAATAAATTAACGTTCGATCAGTATAAATAAACATTCCGACTGGCGGGCGAGCGAGCGGCGATACGAGGGAAGTATATGATAAAATGTCGCTTCTCGCGATCGTTCGTACGACTCGTTGCCGTTTGGCGACGTCCGTGCCGAACCGCCGTGCAGGACGGTTGAAAAATCGCACGGCGCACGTATGTGTGTATGTGTGCCTCGCGAACAGATTTTAAATCTCATCATCGCGAGTCCGCGGGAAAATGAGAAACGGCGGAACGATGCGATTTAATACCGTTGCGGTACCGACGGGCGCGACAGAGGGGAGAGGGGAGGGAGGGAGGAGAGGATCGAGGCGACGTTATTAATTAATTTGCGAATGGATTATCATAAAAGCGAGTGCGCGCGCGCGCGCGCGCGCGTGGACGCAACGAACAGGTGCGCTAATGCCGATTCGCTAATTGCTGGTAGTTATACGGCACATCGATCGGTAATATCGCCGTTATTTACTGCGCCGCACGCACTGCACCGCGGGACGTGCGTACCAATATTGACTCTACAGAGCCTCCAATGCACTACGGCAACGGTGTATATATTAATCATGGCAAACAAAGGGTAAATCGCCCTTAATCGGAAACAACGCGACCGGGGTACCTGCGCGGCGTGACATTTTCGCATGGCCGCCGCCGCGTGACCGCCCGTTGATTAGGACGTTTCAAAACCTTCCCTCTTCGCCTCCGTCCGGCGCGACGTCCAATTTCGCCCGACCATTCAAATTCGCCTCGCGTCGAGGGATTCATCCGGGAGCGCGCTATTCCTCCCGGGGCTTGAAAACGATTAAAAACCACCAAAAAAATGTATCGCGCTGTCTAATGTACGTGTTGCACCCCGAGCATTTGTGCGCCAAGGAACGAAAGGAATATAGTTCTTTCCTCTCGCGACAAGACCAATTTGCATTAAAACCGCGCGCCAGCCCGCGTCGGGGCTGAAAGGGAAAATAATTAATAACTCCCGTCCGAGAGTACGATAAGCGAGCAACCCCCGGCTCGGAAAAATATGCCTTGCATCAACACATGCACGCACGCACGCACGCACGCACGCACGCACGCATGCACGCACGCACGCACGATGCCTTTCACGCGCCACGCATTTCTTTCAGTGCTATCTCTTTTTTTATTTCTCTCTTTTTCTCTCTGCCTTTTTTATTCGTTCTGATTTGCATTAAGCACCGCACGCACCTGCACTAATTTATCGCCGAGATATGTTTTACACCGCTTTCATGCCTCGTGCCACCGCGCGCGCGCTCGCCTCGGACGAGCCACTCGTACGCTGATGAAATGATAAAGCACTCCCGGCGGAGAAGGAGACGCCGCGAAACGTATCGGGCTGGGCCGCGACGTAAAATTCAATTTTATTCGCGATACCGCCGCGAAAGTATTATACTCTCCTCCGCCCTCTTTCCCTGCGTACCCTCCGCGTCCATATTTTAGGTGTGCGTTATTTAAAGTGCGTTATTTCATCAGTTCAAGCATTACATTATTTTCTCTCTTTCTCTTCCACGATCAGATGGGATCTGTAATTTTACCTTAAATAAGCAATTTAAATCGTTTTTCGAGGAACGTTAAATAAAATATTATTACAGAAATCTGATCTTTTTTAGATTTTTCAGGCTTTCCTGAATATTTCCGAAACATAAATATCCGTACTCTAGAATTCTTGAATTTCTGACAGCTGGATATTTTAATTACGCGAATAGTCCGGTCGAATCAGATCCCCCAATAAGTCTGACTCGCGAAGGTGACTCTGATTTTTCCGATATGCTAAAATATACATATAAATTTCGCGTGGATTTCAGAACCGAGTCCAGAAAGAGGTAAATAAATCAATTTCAATCTCTCCCTCGTCGCGTTCGCTTTTCTTTTTTTTTTTTGCGCTGCAGCAGCGCGATTTATTCCGTTACGACCCACACATATTCCTAATTAATTTATTCGACGTGGTTTTTCCCCGCGCAAATAAAAGGCCGGCCCGTAGTTTTACGCGCGGCTAATTGATAACGGCACGCGTCGAAAGACCGAACGGCCGCGGATAAGAAACGTAGGTAATTGCGTAAGCGTATCGGAAGTGGCGAGCCCTTAACAGGTACGATCGCATGAGTGCTTAAAAGTTTCCTTCTTACGCCTCGATAAAATTAAAAGCGTCTCACCTTAAAGCAGAAAGCAGCTTAAAACGCTGAATCGATCATGTGCAGCGAAACATTTTATTTATATTCATGGGACATTCTCTGCAGAAAACGGCGACACAAATTTATACATCAAATTTTAATTATACATTTGTGCAACCAGAATCTTAATTTGGGGCCGCCAGAATTTATAATTGAGAGATAACGTGATATTTTATTGCTCTGATATTTTCATCGAGAACCCTTGCGAGGATCCAGAAATTTTCTTTAACGATCGCTTCCAAAATGTAGCGTTGTGTGTAAATGTGTAAATTCTCAGCACCGCAGAATTCGCAGGATTTCACGATGTTCCTTATATTGGACTCGTTTACTCCTATAGACAGTACACTCGGAATCCCCGGCTCATCCTGCAATCTCAAAAATGTGCTTCCCTCGGTCACCTCTTTTGAAACACCCCGTACACAGTTTCCTCGGCCTCTCAACGGTGGATCTCGGGTGCGGATGAACGTCAGGAAAGTAACCGGAAGTGGCTCTGAGTGCACGCCGGGAAATTCATGAGAGCTGGATCAGCCGGAAAAGGGATCGTTGCCTCTTGGCGCTCTCCATACCAAGCTTTTCCATTCCGACATCAACGACTGGAGGAGCAAATGAGAAGAGAGAGAGAGAGAGAGAGAGAGAGAGAGAGAGAGAGATGAGGGGCAAAGGCCGAGGGGTGAACCGGAGAGAGGCAGAGGGAGAGGAGACAAGCCGGAAGAGAGGGTGTCGATTTGCAATCCGGACGATATTTGCAAGTTAAAGACTCGCACTGCCGGCGGAGGCACGACGTACGCCGCATCGTCCCCGGATAATCCGGCGGATCGAAGGGGATTCGTTTCGCCCCGCCGTCGCCACCGCCCCGGAATCCCGTCGCGGCTGTCTTTTAAGATCAAATTACGGTGTCCGCCCAAGAAAGCGGATCGCATACTCGGAAGTGCTCCAGGGGGCGGACGAACGCGCCCCGTTCCGCGATCGCGCGATTTTCGTCCGGAGATTGTCGCGCTGATGGCTTCCCTTTGACGTCGTAATTGACGCGGTATAATAAACACGTTTACACTTTCACAAAGCGCGGATCGCGCATCATTTTTCACGCGAGCCTCAAAGACGGAAGAGCTCAGGGTTCGATCGGTCTCCGGATCTTTATCCCTGCGACGATTACGGGAAATCGTTCCGTTGAACGAAGATGATCAAAGATAATGCAGCAACGCAATGAACGTAAACAACCGTCTCGAGGCATGACTCATTGATCTTTGCAGGCTTTCCTCGTTGGAATTCCCGATCCTCCTCGTCGATATTTATCAGCCTTTGTTGTACCCGTGATCGCATGCGCGTAATTCCGTGCGGAACTTAAACTTCTAATTGCCTGCGTCTCAAACTTTGCTTCTTCGTTCCTCTTCTTTATTCCTCTGTGTGTGCGAGGAAACGAAAACGCACATAATTTTTATATACGACCGTCTCCTCTCTTTAAGTCGAGATCAGCACTTGATCCTCCCTCCGCTCGAATCTCAGCACTGCCGGTTCGCTTTTTGCGTGAAGTGAAGCTCTTTTTTTTAAGTTACTATACAAATTATCGAGATTACGTAAAAATTAAAATCTCTTTGGTTTACTCAACGGGTTATTTGATTAAGGCAGCTCGATTCGAGCGGGGAGAGCACGCATCCTCCCGAAGAATTCGCTGTATGCAGTGTCTAGCATCGTCTTTGTGTGTGCAGTATGCTCTATGTTTTCTTTGTAGGCGAAGAGTCACGTCTTTTTACCTGTCCTCTATCTCTCTCTTGCAGGTGCCGTCCCTCGCCGATAAGAAGAACCTCTACTTCAACGTGGTGCAGGGACCAAGGGAGAACGAGACCGTCACCGTGGAGGGCGGCGGCGTAAACGCCACCATCATCACCCCCAACATCGCCGCCACCAACGGGATTATCCACATAATCGACAGGCTTCTCGGGGTGCCCTACACCACCGTGCTCGACAAACTCAGGACCGATCCGATGCTCAAGTGAGTATCCCCGCCCCACCCTCTCTCTCTTCTCTCTCTCTTTCTCTCTCTCGCTCTCTCTTCTTCCCTCATCTTTATTCATCTTTATGCAAAGCGACTCGGATCATCGACTCCTCCGGTTTTATGAGAGATCGTCGGGAGCGTCGCGCGCTAGTGGCATTTTAAAAAACACGAAAAGCGAAAGACGGGCGCGCGCGTAAGAGACGTCCATTAGACACCCGTATCCCGATAGAATCAACTTTTGTAATTCCGTTTTAATTTTACGAGAGTTCACATTTTCGTTGTATTTAAATCTTTAATTTTACCGTACGTTCCAGAGTAATGTGAACAGAAATTATGCAAATCGTTGCGCCGAGGCGCCCGGAATTTCCACTCCATTTCGTATTCCCTCCTTCCGTAAGAAATAAAATACAGGGGGAATTCCGATTTTCTATTCGCACGACGAAATGATATACCGAGGAGGACAAGGGAAGGGGGAGGGATTCACATCCCTCGCGAGAGAAGTATCTCTATTTCGATAATTGCGAGGACTCTCGCGCGCTTGTCCTCAGATGCACGTGGGCGCACGCGGTCACGCGAGCCTCCACCCACGTGACAGATACGATCTCCTCGCCAAGATGCGCCATCACCGCCACGCCTTATCCACTCCGGAAAGAGAGTCTTATCCGCGCGTGACCCCGACGCGAACCTTTCTTCCGCACGACTCGCCCGTGTTTCTCTCTCCCCCTCCCCTACCCCTCGTCTCGCTACCCTTCTCTATCTCTCGCTCTCGTTCGAATTTAATTAAAATAACGCAACAAATCCCCATTCCAATTACCGCGGACCCCCGTCGACCCCGGCCGTCGACGTAAAAAACTATAACCGTGGAGTGTGTCTTACGCCTGGAATTGCATAGTTCCGCCAGGGCACCACGTCGTACCTATTAAATTCGTAGCCGGGCGCGGCGGGTCCCCTCCCCCGCGCGCGCCGATATTGCCTCCTTGTCCAATTTAACGGTCGGCACTCGAAGCGCCGCGCGCAAAAAGCAAATAAACTCACTCGGCGAGATTACCTGGGACTGGTACGTATCCGGGGTTCGTCGTACCCTCGGCTGCATCTAGACTCGACCGGGTTTAACTCCGGGCGTCGTCCCAGAATCCAGGAAGATTAGGAGAACCTCGAGATTCGTGGACTTCCGGAAACGATTAATCCGACGGGGGTTAAGGCGTCAAGATACCGAAATTTGTAGATGGATTGGGGAATTCAAAAATGCACGACCTAAAGCACTCATATAGATGAATGACCTTAAGAATTCATCATTTTCTCGACAAGATCTACATTGACGCAACAATTCCTGGAATCTGACGATCCGCGCGCACATTTAGATCTCAGGATCTGCGTGGGTCTGAGACACAACAACGGGCCCCGGAGGTTTTCCGATGGAAAATTGTTTATGTACGCTGATCCAAATAACCGGCCAACAATCGTGCCGCGTCATACCGCCGGCGGCTTTCCGCGCGCGAAGAAAGCTGCGAATTATCTCCTGATTTAAAATTATAATTGATAACCCCGGTGGACGGGTTTCTCGCGTCGGAGGTTCTCCGCAGGTAGAGAGAGATACGACGAGGCGGCGGGGGTCGGGGCGCGGCTTTATAAAGAGCCGGAGAGATCAACCCCCGGTGGTGGTAGAGGGCGGATTAAATCCCGTAAGAGGCAGCGCGCGCGCGAAGGTGAGAGCCCCCGGGGAAGCGAGGATAGAGTAAACATCGCGTTGTTACCACAGTCTACCTCTCGCAATCCCCCGCGCCGCTGAAAAATTTCCGCGCGCTACGCCCAACTCGCGCACGCTCCACAATTCAATTAAAACGATTCAAGCAACGCGGATGAGGCATTACGAGGCCGTTATTTACAGCCTCCGTCCTCAAAACGCACCGTTCTCCTCCCTATCCCTCCTCTAGCTCCCCGTCCCGGGGGTAAAATCGTTCCGGCGTTTTAGTCAGAACATTGAAATTGATCGCCGATATTTCTCCTTGTCTTTTTCAGCTCGACCTACTCGCTGGGCCAGGCACGCGGATTCAATAATCAGCTGAACGACACGACGAAGCGGTTCACGTACTTCGCCCCGGTGGACTACGCCTGGACAGATGCGGCGAACATCTATCCGTCAACCATCAAGAAGCTCTTCATGCCCGAGTACAGTTATCACGTGAGTGAAACTTCCTGGATGCGTATTGCATCTTAAACTTTTATACGCGAGGATTATTCCCGTCGTCAGAGCTGCGCCGCAGCTCTCTTAATCTTTTCTTGTCTTGTTGGATCGTTGAATTTTTAAAACAGTCGTACCTCTTCGCTTCTTCGAGGCCACGATTTGAGAAATTTATATTTCCATTATTTCCTAAAATAATGGAAATAAAAATATTTCTGAGCACGCGCGCGCGCGCGCGAGGAGTTGACTATTGATCCACAAGCAAATCTCGATGTGCGTTTAAAAGTATATGTATAATTTGTTTACAGACGAAACAGATATTGGAGCGACACCTCATAATAGCGGATCAAGCGTACACGATGGCAAAGCTGAGTAAGATGAGCAACGATAGCTACATTCAGCTCATAACGGCCAGAGACTATTTGAAGCTTCGCGTCAAGGAACACGGCGGTGAGTAGATAAGTTTCAAAGCGGCACGCGTTACACATGGCGTCTTGTACACCGCGCAGATATCTTAACGTCACCTCAGAGTGTCGGGACGTTTTCTCGCGAAAGTTTCATTTCTGTCTGACGGCGCGGAAGACGACGCGGGGTCTCGTATTTTACGCGCTGGCGTAATCTACAATACGCGTGAATCCGGGAATATATATATACATATATATATATATATATATATATATATATATATATATACGTTAGAGAAGCACAGGGGGACCGTAGTCTCCTACGCTCGAACATTAGCTATCCGCGAGCGATCGTTCTCCGTGTACGGGAACGGTCGTGGCGACGCCGCCGCCCCCGTCCCTTTGGCGTCTGCCAACCGACACTCACAAACCTGGTTGCTGTCTGATTACATGTAGATGAGAAGGTCGACGAAAACGCAATCCGTCCAGATACATCCGGTGAGTGAGCTAAGTGTGTTTAAACGTCGCACGACGTGCGACGACACGAGCAGCGCTTTCACCTTTGTACGAGCCAAGCACACAGTTACTGAATTGCGAGTTCCACCGAAGGAGTGCACCCCTTCTTTAGCGCACCGCGTTACGCACTCGCGCGTACATGCCGTGTCACGTCTGTGCGCGCGGGAGGATGGGACTCGTGCGTAACTTACCCCGCTCCAGCGAAGTTCGTTTCTAATTGCCGGATCCGCGAAATCTCGGATGCGTGAATTGTATAAATTCGAGTATAGGCGCTAGATGGGAATTTGTGTGAGATTTCAAAATCCTCGATGTTTTAAAGCTCGATAATTTTATGTAGAATCGTGGGAGAATTTCAATCAAACATACGTTTATCAAGACGCATTGGAGAACATCCGCGCAAAAACAGGAAGACTTTTAACTTTTCTGGGTGTGGAGTATCTCAGCCGAGCGTGGGAGGGGATATGTGCGAAATATTTTCTACACATATATAGCGTGCAACGTGAGCTGCTAGTCATCCTTATAGTCAAATCATTCAAATTTTTGTAAAATTTGTCAAAAATTAAAAATTTTTTTTCAAATACTGAAATTCCACACCCACGGGAGCTCTGAGTGTGACAAGCTCCATACCTTCCACCATTAGGAAGTCTTCGTCCCTGCGCGAAAGAGTACGGCAGAGATACGTTAGCATCCCGAGAGCCCGCGGATCCTGAAAGTCTCAAGCGCTCGCCGAATCGCGGTACCTTTAGATCCTTGGGTGCTCCGCCTTGGTGCAACGATTCTGATTTGTTCTTTTCTGTATGATCGTACGTCGAGCTTGCGCGCTTACGCTGACGCTTACGCTTTGCGCACACGAAGGATCTAACGCGGGGGGAAGGAAAGGCGAAAACGCGCGCTTCTCTCGAAAAAAAAAAACACGAAACGAACTTCGCTTGGTGCGTAGAGACTGCGTAGAATTAACCTCGTTCGCACGACAAGCGGATTAGCGACAAGCCGTCGATGCTTCGTTTAATTATTTTGTATCTATATATTATTTGAGACATATTGCATCGCAGTTGAATTATATACATATTGCATCTGTACATCGCAGACGTTCTTAAAACTGCGTAAGAACTCCGTGCGAATCTTTCATTTAGGATTCTCCTCCTCGTTTACCTTTGTACTACCTATATATATGTATACTCGAGAGTCCCTATCTTACCGCGATCAAACCCGCTGTTAAATAATACAAGAGACCTCGCGCGCACAATAGACGACCCGGGAAAACCGAGACCGTCCCGATTTTCACGATCAATTAGAACCGGGACTCTCAAATCCCGCGGGACGCATTCACGCCGCAATTTTCGTTACAGTCGCAGGTGGGACCCCAGGGGAACTTAGCGCGGGGTGAAAAGTCACTGAATCGAGATAAAAAGAAAACGATGGGGTATAAGGATAGAGAGAGAGGGGGGGGAGGGGAAGGGAGAGAGAAAGCGACACGCGGAGAGAGCGAAGCACGCGGTACGCGAGAAACAAAAGCGTATTAATTGCGGCGAGGGCAACAATACTCATTGTGAACGGCGGAATTAATTACGACGAGCAGAACGCTCATTGTTGCGCGTAAATTAATTGCGACAACAACGGCAATAGGATATCATTACCTTTGTCGCGGCGAAAACGAGGAGCTACCCGCCCTTCACCTCCCCTTTCCCTCCCCTCGGCTTCGCGGTTACTATTTATCGTACAATCCTATCGCGTGCGCCGAACGTGTTCGAGCGACACGTCGAACGAGAATAAGGAATCTCGGAGGAATACGCGGATGCGGGGGATCTTACCGGGGGAGACTTCCGGTAACGGAAACGCAAGTTCTTCCGCGCGACCTGAGGAGACGTTCGTCGGCTGTTCGATAAGAGAGAAAATGATACGCGATCCTATTCAAACTACACGCGGAGACCTTAATCCCCTTAATATCCGGTCGCATTCCGTACGTTAAGCCGCCGGAAGCCGACTGGCCGGCCGCCATTGTATTAACATTAAAGCGACAGTAATTTGTTGCGCGGTGATCGATACTAATTACTTTCCCGGTGATTCGGCCGCGTGACGTTTCAACGAATTCGCCTATACGGGAGGAACAAAATGACGGCCGCAAATATTAATGAAGCCATCGGGCAACCGAAACGATTTTAACCATGTGTAAAAGCGTTTGTAATATTACGCTTGATTTAATTTGTAATTGCTCTCTTTGGAAATTCAGGCAACGCAAATAACGCGTAACGATCCATGGGTGCAAGGTTCCTGCAGTCTTGGCCCGTTATATTTTTCGCGCGAGTGCGAAGCGAGTGAACGAACTCTCGCTCTCGGAAAGGGGACTTTCGTTTCCGTACATGCTGCTGCTGCTGCTGCTGCTGCCGCCGCACGAGATGCAGCGAGTCCAACTTCCGTCGCGCCGCGCAAAGTCCAGGAAATTCTCGAACGGATGCGGCGCACTCCCCTCACCCTCCCGCCCCCGTAAACAGTCCCTTTCACGCTTTCCCGCCGCGCCGTTCTGCGACGCCGAAGTACGATGAATATCTGGCCGCCGTTGCCGTGCGCGCGGGATTTTTCCACGTTATCGAAAATGAGACTTGCCGTTTCGTGAAAAATATGTCGCCTCTCGAAGCGCCTCTCGAAAATGCAGGAAGCCGGAAACGAACGCGCGCGCCATTATGCGCCGGAACCGCACGGGGCGATTTATTATGCACCTTTCGACCACCATTTAAATGCAAATTCCTTGATTACCCCCGGCGCTAATTGCTACGTGCCTCGCCCGGTTATTCGCTCTCGCTTATGAGCAAATTTCCGAGGCGTCCCCCCCTCCACCCCTCCAGCTCGCGAACGTCGCTTTAACCGCTCTGTTTTACAATCCTGGCGACGGTACCGGAGAGAGGAGGATCGCGCGGGCGAGAAAAAGATTGAGTTCGGTTGGACTCTTCGTTAAAAGCGAAAGGCAAAGACGCTCGAAACATGGAAAGTAGGTGTTGGAAGAGCAACGAAAGCGTTTACTTCCGCGTTGAGATACAGTGACGATAAACACGCGAAAAATAGAAGAAAAAAAAACTTTACGATCGTAAGGCGCATCGTTTATGTTTCTCACTAGATTGTACTGTCGCTGGATTTGGTTCATCAAACGCCGACTCTTTGATTTTCCATTTTACTTTTAATACGCCGACCTTTCTTTTTAGCATCTCTCACGACGTTTTATCTTAGGATTCTCTAGCTCATTGTGCCGTCATCGAATTTTTGATTTCGAGATTCGACGAGAAAAGGGAGAGAGAGAGAGAGAGAGAGCTTTGCATTCTGTATCGCCGCTTCACTTACGCATCACGCGGTTCTCGCCGCCCTCCCGCAACACGCGGTCCTCGTTCCAAAGATCATCAAGTCTCTCTCTTTTTCAGGCTACTCAATGGAGTGGGACGGCAAGAGGGTCCGCGTCGTTCGTCCGGATGTCGAGTGCACCAACGGCATCATCCACGTGATCGGCACCGTGCTCCTCAAGGACAGCGACGTCCGGGTGACGGGCGGCGCGTCGCTGGCCACCCTCGCGCCCCACCTAATCATGCTGCTGATAGCCAAGTGGCACCTGTAAAAACCATCGTCGCGTCGCATCGTCTCGCATCTGCGGCAGGTGCGTCTATAGGAATTTCTCCTTGGGGGGCCGCCGTCGTCTCTCCGATCGTCCTCCGAGCGACGGCGATGACGACGACGACGACGCAACGTGGGAAGGCACGGCGGGTAGGCAACGGTCGATCGTCCCCGTTCGATCGGAACTCTCTTCGAATGGACATTTATTGTGTACGGAGAAAGGAGCAAAGGGGGGAGGGGGAGTGGGAGGGCAAGGGGGAAAACGCGAGAATCCGAAGATCCGGTGGTGACTCGAGAATCCGCGTGATCGGAGATCCATGGGACTTAAATTACAGGATCCAAGGATCGACGGGGATTCGCGGGGGATCCGAAGATCCGAGGATTCGTTCATGTACGTAGCTCTAACAAGATCGCTGATCTGCAGATGTAAAAGGATGGCGGAGGGGGAGGGGGGTGGGGGGAGGGAAGAGACTTGGAAGAAAGGTGTCCGATCGATTACGTCAGCGATCGTTCGCGGAGGCACGAAGCTCTCACCGAGGGAAACGACGACGGGAGGACGATCGAGCACTCACGATCGCACGGCCTCAGAATGCCAGGATAGCCTATTAATTTATTGAGTATAAATCGTCCGTGGACATAGCGGGACAATTTTACGGGTTAGAAGCGTTAATCGTACCAAATAAATGGTTAATCTCGTACCAAGTAATCTAAATAAATTTATTGTGACAGACGGTGGGGGAGCGTGGTGAGAGAGAGAGAGAGAGAAGCAGGGAGAGGTAGAGAGATTTCGAGGTACCTACTTCGAGTACAAGGGCAAAACGACGAAACTGCATCCTGTTAGATCATGCGAGCTGACTGTCAGCGAGCGACGCAGATATGCAAATAAAATCGCGCTCTAACCGATCGATCGTTTCTTATCTGCCGTTTATTGTCTAAAAATCGTATTCGGCAAAAATTATTTAATTTTGTGTCTCTCTCTGCAAAAAAAATTGTGACTACAATCGCATGAATCCAGATGATCGAACGGTAAGTTTGTTGCGATTCAGTTGCATATCCCACGCGCCGTTTTGTATAACTAAATAGGAACTTAATAACGTATCGAGACGTTTCACATAATCCTTAGAGCAAGACTTCGCTATTCCCTCACGCGGAATATATCCTACAATTTTATATGACATGTACGATTTTATACAATCGTAAACGTAAAGTCCGAAATCCTTTCCCTCCAAAGCGACGACGGTAATAAAGCTAAGCGCAATGCTGGCCCCTTTTCAATTAACGACAGTAATAAAGTCGAAACGCAATATCGATCGCTTCGAATAATTTAGCGAAGCGAATAAGCAAACGGCTTTCGGAATAAAAGGATCCAGCCTGAATCTTTCCATCCTCGAAATTCATCGATTTCACGATCGCGTGTATTTTTTTTTTCTTTCTCGGATCCGTGGATCCTCCCGGAGAACAGGACAGTCGGATTTCTGTCGGATCTTATAGAATCCCTGGGATCCTTAAATCCCTAAATACGTAGATTTTGCGGCTTCTTCGACTTTTCAAACGAAATCCAAAACACCTCTAACAGACCGGACCTCTGACTCTCCAGCTCCGTGGATCCACAGTTGACCCATCGATCGTTTAGCGTCGTCGTGTCGATTTGCGGCAGCCTTGCGGCGAAACCGGATCGAACACAGACAGACGCGGAAAAAATACGTCAACGTCATCTCGGTGTAGCGATACGGCGAACGTATCTCGGGGTGCGAGCGCGCTCCGTAGCGGCGCGAACGGGGTGAACGTTTAGCTCCCTTCACCCCCTTCTTTCCCCTATTAAACCCCGACGTTCAGGTAACGTCGTTTCCCTTTGAGACACCTTTTGAGACACCTGTTTTCCAGCCTTTCGTCGCCGCGGAAGAATTAACGGCCACCGCGGCCGCTCAGGGACGGCCCCGAACGGTACCCCGCTATGTATCATATCGTATTTACGCTGTCTACTTACCGAGAATACTGCCACGCACGCGGGCTTGCGGACGAGCTTGCGAACGAGTTTTTGTACGATAGTTATTAACAGAAGGAGATCGAAAAGTAGGAGAGAAAAAAAGAAGAGAGCGAGAGGGAGAGCGAGAACGCTCTCGGAATCGACGATCCCTGAAAAAAAAAAATAGGTGCGTTAAAGTGTTACACGAATCCAGAAACGCGAAGAAATAAAGTATGTT